CAGGGAGAGGGGGACAGAGAGCAGAGAGAGGGGGACAGAGAACAGAGAGAGGGGGACAGAGACCAGAGAAGGGGGACAGAGACACAGAGAGAGACCCACAGGGAGGGGACCAGAAAACAGACATAGAGGGACCGGGTCCAGAGAGAGGGAGAGGGAGATGGGCAGAGAGAGCGATTCATAAAGCAGGGAAGAGACACAGCGGGGAGAGGGTGACCAGGAAAGAAGGAAGAAAAGGAGGCAGGACAGAGAGCCAGCGAGGCCACAGGAAGAGAAGAGTGGGACAGAGAGTGACAGGTCCACCGAGAGTCCACACAAGGCAGGGCAGACAAACCCGGAGGGAGACCGAGGCAGACCCTCCCCCAGAGACTCTGAGGCCTTGGTTCTGCTGGGCTCGGGCCGTGGGGCAGGGTGCAGTGGGCTCGGCGGGCTGGTGGCTTTTCGGGGCGCCCAGACAAAGGGTGTCTGCCCAGGTGACCCTGAGATGGAACCTGGGGACCCCGAGACCCCCGAGGATGGGGATGCAGAGGTGAGAGATGGGGGCAGGGAAAAAGAGGCGAACAGGACAGAGTGAGACGGTCAGAGATAAAGAGACGGCGAGGTGGAGGGGAACGAGGACGAGAGAGACCCCCGAGACCCGGACAGGGGGGCCCTGTGAGGCCCCGGAAGGCACGGTGGGATGGGAACCTCGGAGGAGTGGATTCCGACACAGAATGAGAAGGCGGGGGGACACAGAGCTGGCCGGGGTGGGGGCCGTGGGGGTGAAGGCGCAGCCCCAGCTGGAGCTGGGGGCTCTGGCTGTGCCCCAAAGGTGGAGCAGGTGGAGCCCCTGAAGACAATCACCCTCAGCCTCGCCAGGGCACAGAAACAGGTGTCCTCGGGGCCGGGTGGGTCACTGTGACTCATCGCCCTCTCTGAGGCAGTGACCTCTCCTCCCTGCCCCCATCTCAGGCCCGCGTGGGACCTCTGAGTCCTGATCCCTCTCCTCTCTGTCTAAGCACCCCTCAGAGTCACCCTCCCTTCTCCTGTCCCGTCCCACAGGAGGATACAGCCACGACCCTCCAGCGCTTCGTGGAGCTGACAGCCAGCAGGGTGACCCCGGTGCGGAGGCTGCGTGTCCCGTATCAACTCATCCGCGAGCTGGGCTCTGGCTCCTACGGCCGGGTGCTCCTCGCCCGGCCTCGCCAAGGGGGTGAGTTGGACCGCCAAAGGGGGGCTTCCCAATTGTCCTCATAGAAGCAGTTCCTGGAAGCCACTGACACAAGGTGCATCCCCGGGAACCCTTCCCAGTGTGACCCTCAGGAAGTTAAGGTTTGGTGACCTTCCAGGAAACAGAGCTAGCCCACCCAGAGGAAGCCTTGCCCAACGTCACACAGCAAGGGGTCGCCATGTCCCCCTACTTCATACAAGAGGCAGTGCGGGCCCAGAGAAGCTGGGGCTATTGTGCAAAGCCTCAGCACGGAGGGTCCCCTCCAACCCCCATTTCACAGATGGAGACACTGGCACTGTAGGGAGGCCGGGAGCTTCAGGTCACATCACTGGGGCTCCAGCCCAGTGACTTCTGCCTGACCCTGTGGCCTGCCCTTATTTGACACATGAGAGATGTGAGGCTCAGAGAGGGTGAGTGGCTTGCTTAGTGTCCCACAGCATCACGGCACCCTGAGGGCCCCTCTGACTGGCTCCCTGACAGGTCCACGGGTAGCTCTGAAGGTCCTGCCTCGGGACTCGGTCCCCAGAACCACCTTCCTCAGAGAGTTCTGCGTGGGCCGCTGTGTCTCCTCACACCCAGGCCTGCTGCAGACCCTGCCGGGCCCCCTGGAGACGGCCCGGTATTTTGCCTTCGCGCAGGAGTACGCACCCTGCGGGGACCTCAGCGGCATGCTCCAGGAGCGGGTGAGGCCGGCAGGGACCAAGTGTGGGACTACGGTCCCAGTTCCAGTCTGTCCCCAGCCCCACTTCTGATCCCTCCTAGGTCCACCCTGGGCCCCAAATGTCCTCCCTAGCTCTGATCCTAAATGTAATCCCACGGCCAACCCCAACCCTAATCCATCCACTCATCCAAACACAAACGCCACCAAAACTGGATGGACAAGTTGTTGAGGCTGAGGATGGATTGGGTCTGGTGAAGAGGGTGGGGATGAGATGGAGTTGGGAGTTTCGCTGACACTGGGATTAAGGGTGTGGCTGGGCATGGAGTTGGGTGGGTTGTGTTTGACTACAGACTGGTAATGGGTGAAGAGAAGAGCTTGGACTAGGGAAGCAGAGGGAGGCAAAGAGAGTTGGGGACATGTGTATAGATGGAGTTGGAGATGTGTCATGATTGAGGTGGTGACCAGGTCAGGACTGAATTGATGAGACTCTACTTGGAGCTGAGTTTGAAGATTAAATGGGACATCTTTAGGGATAGACTTTGGACCTGGGATAGATTTAGGGATCAATGGAAGGAAGGATGAATGGAGGAAAGGGAGAAAGGTGGATGGATGACTAGACTGATGACTGATGAGTGGATGAGGGTGGAGGGTGGATGGGAGGACAGGATGGCTGGATGGACGGACGGACAGATGGGAGGAAGGAAGGACTGAAAGGGGAATGAATGGGTTGAGGGAGAAAGGAAGGAAGCAAAGAAGGAAGAGTGTGTAGGGTTAGATGTTAAATAATTGGATAAGTCGACAGACTGCCAACGAGCTGGTCAAATAGACGTTGAGTGCGGGCCCTGCTGAGTAGTCTGTTGGGTGGATGACTGTTTTGATGGATGGATTGCTGGCTGTGGGGCTAGCTGGATGGATAGACTCATCAATCAACAATGACTGAAGCTGGGGGACTTCAGAATAGCGCCTGAGTTAGAGATGGGATCTAGGTAACTATGGAACCAATGTGAGGGTTAAGTATGGGTTTCCACTGGAGACAGTCTGGTTGTCTGTTTAGAGGAGACATGGACGCAGTGTGAGGAGTGGTGTGAGTACTAGGGTTATGACAATGTTTGAGAGAAGCCAAGAGCGTGTCTGGTTAGAGGTGGGGTCCAGGGGGGAAGCATGTGGAAGGCGCTCTAGGGGAGTAGAGATGTGGGTGCAGGCTGTTGCTTGGCATGGTCTGCAGGTCTTGGGGGACTGTGGGGGCTGCCACTGACCTGGACCTGGACAATTGGAGACTCTTTGGAGGGAGATTAAGCAGCCAAGTAGAGAAGGGACTGAGTCCTCTCTCCTTGGCTCCAGGGTCTCCCAGAGCTGCTGGTGAAGCGCGTGGCAGCCCAGCTGGCTGTAGCCCTGGACTTCCTCCATGGCCGAGGCCTGGTCCATGCAGATGTCAAGCCTGACAACGTCTTGATCTTCGATCCCCAGTGCAGCCGTGTGGCCCTGGGCGACTTGGGTCTGACGCGGCCAGAGGGCAGCCCAGCCCCGGCCCCGCCAGTGCCACTGCCCTCGGCCCCACCTGAGCTCTGCCTTCTCCTGCCACCCGACAGCCTGCCGCTGCGGCCAGCCCTGGACTCCTGGGGCCTGGGCGTGCTGCTCTTCTGCGCCTCCACAGCCTGCTTCCCCTGGGACGTGGCGCTGGCCCCTGACCCCGAGTTCGAGACCTTCGCTGGCTGGGTGACCACCAGGCCCCAGCCACCTCTGCCTCCAGCACCCTGGAACCAGTTTGCACCCCCAGCTCTCGTGTTGCTCAGGGGGCTTCTGGACCTGGATCCCGACACAAGAAGCCCCCCACTGGCTGTCCTGGACTTCCTGGGGGATGACTGGGGGCTGGAGGGCAATGGAGAGGGGCCTGAGGGCCTGGGGAGTCTGTCCAGTGAGGAAGGGGGTGAGGAAGAGGGAGAATCAAGCTTGGAGGAGTGGACAGACGGGGAAGACAGCAAAAGTGACGGGGGGAGGGACACTGATGGGGAAGCTCCGTGACCAGAGGACGAAGCAGGTGACTGGGCCTGGGCCAAAGGCCCCTCCCCCACCCCATGGCCACCTGGATGAGAGAGACAGCTGCTCAGGGAGGACAGAGGGGACACATTGGCCCTCAGCCTACTGAGTGCTGGACGCTGCTGTACAATACCCCTTCTGACCGAGGACCCAGGAGTCCTGGTCCCCAGCCCCTCCTCCCTCCGACCCTGGAGTCCAGACCCTGTGCCCCTCCTCCCTCAGACCCAGGGGTCCTGACCCCCACCCCTCCTCCCTCAGACCCACGAATTCAGAACTCCAGCCCCTCCTCCCTCAGAACCAGGAGTCCTGACCCCCCCAACCCCCTCCTCCCTCGGACCCGGGAGTCCTGACCCCCACCCCTCAGAGACATTTCCTCTTAGTTCTGTTCTGAGTGTGTCTTCTTGAAAGCAGAGTTTCCCCATAGATCAATTCCGTTCTGTGGCGACATGGAATGCCTATCATGGAGTCTGGACGGGATTGCTCCTCTCCTCTAAGACCCTGGGTGGCTCCCACTGCCTAAGGTCTAAAGCCTGACACCTCACCACGTCGGTGTCACCATCCTCCTCTCTGGGTGACACTGGGAGAGTCATCCATTTTTTGTGAACCTCAGTCTACACACACACACACGCACACTCACACACATGCACACGTGTAGCCACACATACGCACAAGCACACACACACATCCAAACACACGCACATGCATGCAGGATCACACGTGCACAGGCATGTGCACACGTGTGCATGCAGACACACATGGACACACATGCACAGGTGAGCACTCATGCACACACACACGCATGCAGACGCATGTGTCAAACAAGCACACTCACGTATATGCACACACATGCAGACATGTACACACATGCATATACACATACACACTCATGCACACATATGCGCACACATGCATGCACATGTGCATACATGCACACACAAGTCCACACACTTTTTGGCTAACAGACATTTGTACATGCTATACCCTTCACCAGGAGCCCTGGTGACACGATGGTTAAGTAAGTGTTCAGCAGCTAACCAAAAGGTTGGCGGTTCAAACCCACCAGCGACTCTGTGGGAGAAACACCAAGCAATCTGCTCCTGTCAAGATTACAGCCAAGGAAACCCTATGGGACAAATCCACTCTGTCACACGGGGTCAACGAGTCAGAATTAACTCCATGGCAACTAACACCACACTTCCTTTGTCCCAGCTCCGCGGGCCCAGGAGGTGCCCCTGCCGCGTTGCCCACCTTTTGTCTGTCTCCCCCGGCCTGTCTTCATTTCCAGAACCTTCCCCAGAGCACGCTGTGCTTCCTGCTTCCGGGCACAGAGCACCTTGGTTTTGGGGTGTCTCAGTCATTCTTGCCATCAGCATGGGTTCTGATGGCCCGTTGTATGGACGGCCACCGTGAGTAGGACCTGGCCTGATGGGAACTAGCGACAGCAAACCTTCATGAAAGCACACGCACGTGTGGCTTGTGGTGGTCTCGGTCCACGAGGCCAGGGCTGAGTGGGTCCGACCGGTGCCCCTGCACCCCGCACGGAGTGAGACGAGGTTACAGCTCACCAAGCACCATGGACCGGGAGGTGCAGGTCCTCTCAGGAATCTACTACAAATTCCTCCAGTGAATCCAGAATCTTTACATCTTGAACCAAGTATCCTAGTCTCCAAACCTAACAACAGTTTGGCTTAACGGGGCAAGAATGCCCACTTCAGCACAGTGCTCGGTTAGACCTGTTCCCTAAGGATCACGCTGACAAGAGCAACGCGGAAGGCTGGATGGGACGGTTAGTGGGCAGTGCGTGCACGCCGACGGGGAAGGGCCACTGAGGACAGCGAGCACGGCGCCCCAACGTGAGGCGCGTGACCCGAGGCACTGAACTGCGCGTGGAGACGCCGAGTTGCTCTGTTTCACTGCATATGTTCTTCAACCACCACAACAAATAAAATACATCATTAAAAAAGTGAACGTTTAGTGGGTGCACGGGTTCCACACGGGTGACAGATATGGTTAACGGGGAGGGTGCTCATTGCACGGCGTGGTGACTATACTAAACATTCCTGAATCTCTTTTCTTTTAATGCATTTTATTGAAATATAATTTATGTACAGTGAAATACACAAAACTAGTGACATGGGTCAATGCATTTATTTTTCAGTGTTCCCTCCCCTCCCCTGGTAACCAACAGGGAAAGTTCCCTTCCATACATAAACCTTTCCTTTTTACAATAATGAACTAATACTGTATTTGTCCTTCTGTGATTGACTTATTTCACTCAGCATAATGTCCTTCAAGTTCATCCATGGTATGAGGTGTTTTGCAGATTCTACATTATTCTTTAGGGCTGCATAGCATTCCATTGTGTGCATGTACCATGGTTTGGTTACGAATCACTCACTTTCAAACGGTAAATTTTATGTTATGTGACTTTCATCTCAATAAAGACAAAACAAAACAAAAAGTCAAGTTGCTAAATGCAGTGGGGAATCCTGAATTAGCACCTAGAACCTGAAAGGTGTTTGTGGAAAAATGGGTGAAATACCATCAGCCTTGACCTCTAGTTAACAGCAGCAGGTCAAGGTCAACTTCCAAGATGTCAACATCAAGGGGAGCTGGATGAGCAGTAAAGAGCTCTGGTCGGGTGATGGGTAAGGCATTGGTTGCTAACCAAAAGGTCGGTGGTTTGAACTCACCAGACCCTCTGCAGGAGGAAGACAATGTGTAGGCTTTGACTGACAGCCTCAGAAACCTTCTAGGGCAGTTCCACTCTGTCCTCTAGGGGCGCTGTGGGTCAGAATGGACTACACGGCAGTGGGTGTGGTTTGGGCTTTGCT